GATGTTTACCCTTTCAGCCTGTACATCAATCGGCAGGAGCCTATTACGGACCACAATGTTAGTTGGAACGCTCGAAAAAAACCCATAGTCACGAACCAATGTGCCGTGCAGATGAGCTGAATGACGCTTACACCGTTACATTCCAATACAGCCTCAATTCAATCTATCTCAGTGATAGGCCTACTTTTTAAGGGAAGCCGTACAAGGGTGAGTCCATCAGCAGGTAATCTGCGCGTTAGAATGGACAACACACGGGCTGGGTACGCTATCCCCGGAAATAGAGCTGACAACTGCGCACGTTCTGCCAGATTCTGCGTGCTCAGGACCAGCCAGGGCTGAATAAGCCATTTGCGAGTTAAATTTAAATAAAATCTGGTACACTGAGTTCTTTAAATCCACGTGAACATAACAACTAGAATTCTCCATACTAAAACCACTGTTGCTTTACCTCGTGATTCGGGGCAAGCTTTTGCTTAGTGACATCAGAGACGCCTTGCAACAATACACTGTTCTCAATGGATAAGAACAGCACAAAGGAACTAGTCCATTTTAGAGATGGTGGTCGCTATGCAAAAGCTTGCCCAGAATCACGAGGTATAGCAACGGTGTCTTTAGTCTGGGGAATTTAAATTGTGACGTTTCTATGCAATCAAATAACACAGTGTACCAGATTTTATTCAAATTTAACTCGCAAGTGGCTTATTTACCACGCAAGTGAATCTTTGGTCAATACATTCTGCACAGCGCATGCTCAATCGGAGGACTGCATCACGTGCCCACAGAGTGATCCAATTTGAATTGAAAATAACTTGAAAATGCTGATGGCACCGCCACCTGTTAATGTCAATTCCATACACAAATCCAAGCATGGACAATTGGACACCTTCGCTTTGTGCTTATTTTCTTCTCCGTGATTGGTTAATGCTTCGTCTGGCAGGAAATGGTGTCCGCGCAGGCGCACTCTGACTAGTAAAGGCCATGCAAGCACAGGGGTTGCTAAGCACTCGGGTTACCTTCGCAAACAATCGGTCCCGTTAAGCTTCTTAAGAAGCTGTTCAATTTCTCTACACTCTTTAGGGCACCCTTCATTAGCTCTGGCTGTGTACTGTGATTCTTCTCGGCTTCCTTGTTGAGCATGTGCGTGCTCATTAAGCCGGAACAGAATGTGGACGGTTGACTGTGGCCCAACCAATCTCATAAAAAGTAAGGACGAATTGATGAATTCAATTCACCCTTTCACTTTTTGCTAATTAGAGGACCTTTTTACCAGAGGGAATGCCGACGTTTCATAATATGTTTCAATTAATTAAAGCATGCCAAAAAAAGCACATGAATTTCGAACAAGAGTTTCAAACGGCAATCCAGCCATGACAAATTGACTTCGTCAACCAATACCCCTTAATGCCCATCAGCCCAGACTAGCTTCATCGTATCATGGTGATACGACAAGCTACCCCTGTCCAAAGTTTTGTTCTCCTGGCTTAACTCGATATCTTGAGTGGAAAATCGGAGCAGTGTACTCATCCCCGAGCCAGAGAAACTTGAAAGGAGCAACAAGCCTGACCCGTTTTCCTGTCCAAATACAGGCAGGGAGAGAAAGAAGACGCGGGTGTACAGGATAAACAGGGAGACCCGACACAAAGATGTGGGATTAAGGTGGAGACGGTGTGGCCTCGTGAGGCTGCCGTTCCCGCATTGTTCCGTTTAAGTCTTACTCAATCTACTTGCTTTTTGAGCTGTGCCGACTTACGAACTCATCCTTAGACGTATTTCGAGCCGATATATAAATTGACGGACGCGTATTACCATTTGAAACAATAGATCCGTATTTGACGAGAAAAATAACGTCATCTTAAGCTCCGTTTCAAACTACTGTAGCAACTAAAATGTTTCTCTTCCTATTTTATCCAAAAGTCCCTATCTCGCTAAAACCTACATCACTCATGAAGCGGGATATACGTACTCCAAAAGAAACCATACATGGACGCTGCCTCAACTTTTGACTTGCATCTTCATCCGGATTCATGCACATGTGATACGCCTACCTCAGAGCCACTCTGTTGGTGCATAGAATGGGAATAGATTTATTAGCACCCTCGATGACTCGACCCACGTCTACATCACTCAAGAGATTCGACCAATCCGACACCAGCGACAGGCACAACCCTACCGGGAAATACACCGTTTGCCGGTTTTGCCGCACGACTGCAAGTCAGTTGTTTAGTCTCTGTCGAGGACCCGCCGTCGTCAACCGGTGGATGTAGACTTCACTTGTTTAAACGGCAGACGCTTTACAACTAAAAGTAGAACTGCAGTCGTAATAGGTACGTAAATGTTCTAGCAGATTGCAAGTTACTCAAGGGTTTACCATGCAAAATAACGGGGGTTATCTTTCAGAAGTTACACCCAAAGCCAAGTTCTGTACCAAAATGGTTTTACTTCTACAAACTTTAAATGAACGCGAACTTTGAGAGGATTTCATGGTAATTTAATCCTCAGAATCAGTTGTTTTTCTCTACCAAAAAAGTGTCCATGTACAAAATATCCAGCTTATATTTTGTCTAGTAGCATGTGTCTGATGGCTTTTCTTCAACTCGGATCTTCAAACTTGGAAACTTTTTTTTTTCAGTTGGGGTCATTAATAGCACGGGGCTTCAAAGTTCTTTCGGGTTGGTTTCCCCGATGAAATGTGGTAGCGCTTGGGGGTTCTACATCCGAGAAGCGGGCGGGTCTGTCTACGTACATCGGGATGCCATAACAATAGTGACGACGGTCGATTGAGCTGTTAATGGTGATTCGCAGACTGTTGTGGGTTTTGATGGGTCATGTTGTTGTTCAGATCGATGTCTGATGAGCAAGATTCCCCCGTTACCTGAATATGACCAACAAACTGCACGAGGAGCCACCTCATAGGCCAGTGCGTGTTGTCAGCCCGTTGCTCCAGCAGCAACCACAACGCGGAGGAGTTGAGCATCGGGATAGGGTCCCGGCGGAAGAGTTTGGATGACCATCGTTGTCATATGGGATGTTTGCGTAGAATTTTGAACCACACAGTATGGAGCCAAAAGTGTAGTTGATGCATCCAATGAATGTGTTATATACCAGTAACATCAGTTCCCGGCATTAATAAAGGTAGAGCTTTGAATTTGGGGAGGACAGCTCACTTCGTAATTATCTCTTTATAAGTACGGGTTTTGCCCTTACACCGACGTATATAAAATAACCCTGTTTTCCCAGCGCTTGTCCGAGAGTTTGTGGGGAAAAAAAGCTTACTCGGGTGGGAGTCAATCCCCCAGCCTCCGGCTTATTAGTGCAGCATCTTAACCGCTCGACCACCAAGCTTGCTGGGATCGGCTGACCGGTCCGAGTCAGATGTAGAAGCGGGTACTGCGAAACCACAGGCCGCGGTTTCGAGTCCCATCCGAGTAAATTTGAGAAATTTTCCACATTTTTTTCACAAACTCTCGGACAAGCACGGAGAAAACAGTATTAATTAATATACGTTGGTGTTAAGGATATGAACTGAAGAGCTGTTATTTTAAGTTTTGTCGGCTGTGGGCTTGCATGGCCATCATGGACTCCCGTAGCATCAGCACGTCCTCCTCAGTTCCCTCTTGATGACGATGAGTCGCGCTCATTTGGGTCCACCGTCTACCGGTACCTCTCCGTGAATGATCAGTCATCGAATCCTGATTTTACCAACACATTTTCGTCGCCTGATTCTATCGAAGAAACGTGTACTTCGTTCAAATTCACAGAGCTGCTCTGCAAAAAAGGCTATACCTAGCAAAGTGTTCACCAACTTTCTTGGAGGACAAACCCCCAGCACTTTGAATTGTCATTTACCTTTCAAAAACCCAGGCAGAAGACAAACAATCTGCCATATACACACAAACAATTCAAACTTCATAATCCTCACTGCCCTAAAACATCCGAAGTTTTCAACTTTTTCCCTCGTGTATCACCTTTAAAGTGTGAAAACTGACATTGGGAGAGGAATCGCCAAACATCAAAATATACGTGAGCGTAGATTTTTCACAGTAGATCACAATAACATATGCTCCCGCCCCCCTTCTTAATTTTAAAATACGTGTATGCTCGTAGCTATGACAGATTAACAAGGTGATTGCAAGCCTAGAAAGTGGTCAGGTCTGCGCTAACGCCAGACATCTCTTGTGGGTTGCACGGTTCCAGGAACCGATAACCTCAGCGATGCTTTACATTCCTCACTGCTGAGTAACTGGCATCGTCAGAATTTTGTATGCTAGCACAGATAGGACCGCGTCGTTTTATTCCGGTGGTCACAAACAGCCCAGACAAGTCGGAAGTGATAACTTTACTGACTACACCATCAGGAAGATCAACAGGAAAGCAGGGACTAAAATTATCTCCTGGCGGAATTGCACAGCTCAGGTGCGTGTTGTTAGGTCGTTTCTGTGAGGTTATCCTCGATCTGCGTTCCTCAACCAAGCCAGCCCCGTGTGTGTAAGGTCGGTCAAAAACTCAAGGAGTCATGTCATTCCAAGGGTGAAACCGTCTCACAGTCAATACATCATTCGAGGATTAGTGGAGCGCTAAGTCACCCAATAAAAGCCTCAAAACTAACGGCCTGGTCTTCATCAAAACAGGACCAGGTATGCAATCCCGTCCGACTGGCAGTGGGATGTTTTAGTAGAGCGCAAAAAACCGAGGCACCCATCTTTTAGTTCAGGTGAGCTGTGATGCATTTGATCCAAATATTTTCTATGTGCGTTATCTTATGAGATTCCCCAAAAAGGAACAATGTACACCGTGGACCATTCACGGTTGTTAAAAATCACGATTAAAAAAAATTTAAATCAGATGTTTTTATTTAAATCGATTTTTAAAATCGATCTTTGTATGAGTTGTCCAGAAGGCTTTTGGTCCCGAAGTTCAAGACAAGAAACACAATGTGATGACTAAAGGATCCACTGCTGAGGCTAAGTTTGTGACACGTTGAGCTGTTTATTTCTAATCAAACACCAAAGTCTGCCATAAAGTGCACCTAAGTCTGCTATAAAGTGCAGTATACCTGTACGGCGTACACACACTCTTGGTATGAATAAACCGTTTATGCAAATTTCAATGATAAATCAAGACGATTAAAGATCATTGTCTTTGCTTTTTCAATTGGGATAAAACTCTTGTACTTGCCAACACTTGTATGCCTTATGTAACATTTCGAGAGACTTTATTGAATAAGTCTACACATCTTTGGTATTCCAATTTCACGATATAAGTGCGAAGACAAAATGACCCAATTTGGGTTGTGTCTAAATGTTTTGAAGGTATCGGTATGTTAAATTCAGACACCCAAAAAGAAAAAGTTTCTCTGACGTGATTTTTGAATGAAAGTTTAAAACTATTTTAAGCGATTTAAATCGTCGAATTGCAAATTTACTTTCATCTCGAAAAGTTGACTTTAATGTGATGTGCGAGTGCCAATGTATTCGGCTTCAAGCCAAATTCTAAGGTCCTCAGGAGAGGACACGTCGCCTACTTGAAAACATTTTCTAGCAGGCCTTAAAGTTTGTTTTTTTCAGAACTTCCATAACACCCCAAACACCATTTCGAGGTAAAAATGCAGAGCAACAATAGGGCATATAGTATTTGGATTATTAAACAGCGTGCAGTTCAGGTACAAAAGGCAGTCACGATACTAGGTATTTCCACAAAACTGTTTTCTGTGCACGGTTCTCAGGAGGTAACTGGCATTTCGGTTCTACATAAACTCCGAAATACAATAATTCGGCTCAGATTTCCTATTACCCTTTTTTTTGGCAAGGAAAACCTTGACTTTCGAGAAACGCGCTTCTATCACCAGCAGATGCCGACTGTGGTCACAATGGCAGAGGAAAAAGTTTAGCAAGTGTTCCGAGTATCGTTTGTTGTGCGGGTCTTTGGAAATCGGTCACTTGGCGAGACAACACTTGGAGGTTTCGTCACGCTGGGTCGATTCTATTGTCCGCCTTCGCTTCGTCATTTTGTTTGCCAAGAGGTTGTTTTCTCGATAATCCCGAAGCAGTTCTCCTTGTTACATGAAATCGAGCCTTGAGGCCGAAAGCGCAAGGCCTTGCTTTCTCGGCATGACACAAACAGTGCATGTTACAGTCTGCATAATCAAACGCAGAGTGGAATGGCCTCCAGATTGCGTATGTGCATCCGATTATGACGTCTGTATTTTGATCCATTCTTCTGGTCACTGATAAGGACATGTCTCTCTTGTTGCATTTAAAGCAAAGCGCAAGACCATCACCACTTAGTGTTGAACCCGAGTGGTATGTGCCGCATTCAGATTACCGGCTCTCTAGCATGCGCGTGTTTAAATGAGTCTGCACGAGACGACGCTGTATAGTGCTTTTCAACTGTCTTGAGGTGTCGCATCGCCCACGGAAGACCTCGCACGAATACAGCACCTGCCGCGGCCAAACGGCTGGTTGCCCACGGGATGTAGTCACCTCTCCCCCGGGAGAAGAGATTTCAGAGCGGTTGGTCAGGTGTGTTTGTGTTGTCCTGTTCACCAGAGGCTTACGGTAACACTTCACACATCTTTTCAAATGGTGCACTGGTGCTAGAGTCTGTTGTGTGACTTCCTGCCATGGAGCACTGACATACATGTCTGAAATTGATTAACATAACTCTGAGTTCCTTTTCACTAGGGTACGGTATCATGCATGCTGTTGGAAAATGTTTGGTGAAAGTTCCATCGAGGGAATAAATGGGTACTCGAGTAAAACACTCGTCGTACGATTATGTAGACACGTTACTCAACTCGAGTACTTAAACTGGGACGTGCCAGACGTGTTATTCGGCAACCATGAGGCGAAGCCATTACTGCGGTGACACAACGCTGGTGGACAGGTGGTACACGCGCGTTCAAGTGCCTCTTCGACTCATCGGATGTCCTGGTTTGCCAAATGCACGCGCGTCAAGCTGTAAGAATGTGCATGCGAGTACGGTGCCACCAGAGTTATGACGTCAAATCGGATGAGTCTGTGTACATCGATTATAGGGGTCTAAGGTCGAGTAAATGAAAGCATGGAATTCTACCTCCATGATGAAAGTAAACTATTAACGACCGTTGAGATGTTTGCTACCGACTTATTGGGAGTGTTCACGTTTATTACACGCATGCGCATGTACCGCAAAAAAGAAACAACAGTATTACATGCAAGTCCTAAACAAGGAGAAAGCGCCGTATGCCTTACATGGCTTCTGGAATGATGTAGGCAATTATAAAGTTAGGAATATAGACAAGCGATAGCCCTTTCGACGGCAGAATACATATATTGTGTTTGGTTTTGTTCAAACGACTGCCACAAAAGACTTTCTCCGTACAAGAGTTATCACATTACCATTCGCCATTGACGGGGGCCATCAGGAATATTGAGCGCTGGGTAACCACAACAACGGATTCGTCTGAAGATGTTTTTTTCCTTTATGAGTTTTGATTTAATGGTTTGACATCTTATTTTTTCACAGTTTGCCATGATTATGGGCCCATCGCAAGCTATGTCTCCGTACGCCATCCCTTCCATAACCATTTCACCCCCAACAAGTCCCCGCGAGGGGGTCTACCAGAAACGAGGCGCGTCCTCCGACCTTGCGACCATAGACGAAGCTGACCCTTCGACGACCGACGGCCCCTGCGGGCTGTGGACCGCGACCTCGCTGTGCAGCCCCTCCAACCTTCTGTCGCCGGAGTACACGCCGCCCAGCGCCCCGTGCGGCGGCGAGAAGTCGTCGGAGCACGAAGACGAGCTGGCCAAGCTCAAGTCCATGGCCACGCGGCTGCGGCTCAGCACCCGGCGGCCGTCGTACGTCGAGTGGTGCGCCAACTTGCCCAAGCTGCGGGACTTGAACGGGAACTTGACCGCGAAGAAGCGATGCCAGGACAGGAGCGACGATTGGAGGACTTTCAAGCAGAGACGGGACTGTCTGGAGGAGAAAATACAGTGGGTGCGAAATGAACTGGTGAGCGACAAACATTCCTGACGAAAATCACTTGGTTTACAAGCTATTTCTCCTTTTCATTTGGCTACTGTAAAACAAAGCACTGCTTTATCTCTCCATTACACGTTCACGAGGACGTTTTCTCTACATAGTAGGCTCCACGTAACTATACCTTTCTTTAAGTCTAATATCGTCAAAAGTCAGGTTACCGACAAATACAACCATCCATGTAAGAGTTCAGAACGAGGTGCTGCACGATTCCTTTGAGAGTTGAGCGAAGTTCACTTGACGGCTCACACAAGTTGGAATTCAATCAGCTTACCATCGACTTCTGTTGCAAACACCCCCTTCCCCACACAACTGACTAAGCTAAGACGCGCTTGTTGATATTTCATGGAGGGTGAAGCCGAGCAAGGATCAAACCTCACCACACTGGACTAGTATTCTCACAGTTCCATCACGAACCCGTTTTCATAGATCCCCAGCGCAAAGTTTTATGTCTGAAAGTTCAATGTCATTGCCCCTCCCCCCTTTTTTTTGTAGATCGAGATGAAATCCCAGGACCACCGGCTGGCCATCCAGCTGATGCGCCTCCGCTCAGAAATCCAGCAGCTGCGATTGCAGAAAAGCTGCCACGAGCACCGAGAGCTGATCGACACGGCCACCGAGTGTGCCCAGGAGGACCGCGACTCGCAGCTCCAGCCGGCCCTGTGCGACCCGCCCTTCCGGGGCAACGGCGTGTTGCTGGCCCTGGAGAAGCCGCTCAAGGACGTCGGCGTGACGCGGCTGAACCTGTTCGCCAGGAGATTCTCACTGTGTTGACGGCACCGACATGTCCAGCCCGTTATTGATAATCGACTAAAGGAACTTTGTACCGTCCATGAGATGCGACGTTAATGAGAAAAACCGGTTCAAATAGCATGTACATGTACATGTAGTTACCCTACGTTTCTGATGTTCAAGCGGCCAACGGAAACAGCTTCTTGGAGCAGCCAATGGAGACAAGTCCTCCATCTTGTACAGATGTATAGGTACTGCTGAATTTACTAGACTTGGAACCTGCACTAAGTGATAAGACACTCACAAAAGCTGACGATTAACATGTCAGATTTTAATGACTGCAAATTGTGATTGATATTACGGCTGACGATGGACTAATCACGTCTTTTTTCAGGACCGAAAAGTTTATGATTACCACGACCTTAGAGGTAACTGTATTGAATGTTATAATTCCACAGCCAGCGAGCCACAACCAACAGCGGGACAAAACTTTAAGTGACAATTTGGCCAGCGGCAAAAACTCAAGACATTTGGTCTACGATATACGGTTGGTGTTTAATGGCATCCAAATATAAAGGAGTTGTAACTCTCATTGTACTGTTCATATACACCTTAATACCGCATTACATGTATATTCGGTCAATTGGAGTAGCTGGCGGGAAGCACGTGACATACTTCTCATCTGCCTTGAAGTGTGATTCAAACCAAGGTGAAAGAAACTAACTTATGACTGCATATCGTAATTTTCTGTTTCCTTCTGTGGTCCACGAAGGACACGTAGGCCTACGGGTTCTCAAAAAAGCTAAAACTGTGTACACTAATCACTTTTCTTAAACATTCCTAACAAATTCACATTAAATCGTTTTATATACCAAAATATTTGGTGACAGCTCGAGAGACAGTAAGCATTAAAATGCGAAATGACGAAAGCAGTGACTTGCGTCTAACGTACACGGTTGCTTGTTATGCATTACAGTCCATATTATTTTGACGTTTTTTATTTTATTACAAATAAAAATGTTACTTCTTCGGAGGCGCTACCTACTGATGTTGTGAAGTACATTCAAGATGCTGTATTCCAGAGTCAATATTTCAGAAATGAATTCAAAAACAGTCAATGCTGGTCGTTTTGGGTATCCTATTTTTTCCAAGCGATGGCACGCGTATAGTTCAGCCCAGTAATCTTGTTAAAGAAAGCACGCTCATGACACGAAAAGGACAACCATGTTTGGGTTATACACACTTCGTCCTCAAACAACTTGAAAACATCACAATTAAAAACGGAAGAGATTGTGGTTTATTATGCACATTTGTTTAGCACATTGTACTTTTAGTTATTCATAAAATCCTTAGCTGATCGTTTAAGACCGGTCAAGCATACATTCATTCCCTTATAAGCGTTTTACGCACTGTATAATGGTCACGTTTTATATAGGCCTACGCTTTCCAAAACGATGTAGATATGCATTCATTCCAGCGATAATTTTGGAGAGTGGGCGGGAGTTTCCAATTCCAGTTCGCTAAACATAGGCTTATTTAGAGAACATTCCTCCCAAACGACGCTGTATATTTCGGTGCATGAGTTCAACGCATGCCCACCGGGATATCACAGCGTCGGACCATATACCGGCCGGAAAATAACGATGTTTTCCAACTTCCTTGCATAATATTTGTGCAATAATATCACATCAACAGCGCACACATTTTAATTTTCATTTGGCGAAATTCGCCACAAATGTGTTGCACCGGGTCAAATAGGTCTGCAAGGACTATACTACCAACAATGGCAAACGTAACAGTGATTTCTGTCAAAGTATGGAGTGACAGGCGAGGCCCATGAACAACACAGCACAGGCCTTGGGCAGACACCCAGACAAAGGAACTGATTACGTTCTGCAAAAGGAGATACCACCAAAGAGATAGTGCTTGGCGGGCAATAACTGTATGGTTGTACTGATCGGATTATCGATAACTGATGTTTATACTTCCTTCATTGCATTCCGTCTGCAAACCTCCGGACAAAACGCCTGGTTAGTGCGTCTATGCGGCTATCAGCTGAAAACGATTTGCACTCCAACACATGTTCATTCCAATTTCAGTGGAAAGCTAAGCACAACTATGTAACCAGGGGGCTTTTGAATCTTGCTAAATGCAACCACACCCAAACTGCAGAAATAGACATCCTGTATTGCGTCAAGCAAAATGTCGCGTACGCATGCGAGGACTGATAAATCAAGCGATGAACTGCCCCCCCCCCATTTAACCATTGTTGCATTTTGTCGCAGGATTCACACTGCAGAAGTACCGGTACTGGATTTGGTTGCATTTAGCAGGATTACAAAAAAGCCACGGGGTGTGGAAAGGATTATTCTTGTGATCAACATTGATGCACTGAAATTGCTTGAGCCCAGCAGCATTCGAAACGAGTCACATAATTTCAACTAACTTAAATAACAACTGAGGTAAGATGCCCAACGGAGGGTATCAACCATGGGGATTTCTCTGCACTGTCATTTGACAGAGAAAAGTTCCATTGGTCTCGAGACGAACACTGTCTCCATGCACGATGAAGTTGGTCTGGTTCTTTATATGGCACCCACATTGAGAGAAACGCAGTTACACGTACGTGCCTTTCAGTTGGAAGGCCATGAGCTCAATCATACCGCACCGTTGCCAACCACTCAGAGCTGTTAGCCGCGCCAATTTAGCGCCACTTTTGGTGCCAATTTACCGTAAATAAACCGTGCACCTTGTTATCAAATGAAACATCCTTCAGCTGAACAATCGCCCGGCAGAGAGACATGTACTCCAAACAAAACAGCTTTGCACTATGGCCGCTACGACTTTTCGGTTTTGGATCGAAATCACATCAGGGAAGGAGTGATTAATCGATCAAGGTTGTGCATGGACGCGATTTTAACACAAACACAGCGACATCTTTCTTTCATTTTTGATCGAGATATTTTATCAAAAACTACATACATGTAGGCCCTAACATTCATCAGAGGCGACGCTACGGCCGTCATGACACAGCAAGCACCAGCGCGTGCTTCTGGTAAATTAGAACATCCTACTGGTCGCAGAGGCACATGACGCGCGCGTACCGTGTCCACGAGCGCTGTACGTGAAACCGCAGTAATGGCTTCTAATGGACCTCATTCACAAGGCAGCCATGTTGAATTGAAAGAGAAATTCGGGGTTTTGTGTTTTTAGGGAGAACCCAAGAATAAAATTAAACGCAGGGAGACAAGTTCATTACAGATTAACTTCCTTTATTATGATAAATAATTTAAAACGTGCTTTATTATTTCTAAATGTTTAAGCAACATTTTAAAAAAAATTAAAGTGAGGCGTGGAACCTCAAAGTATGGCACCACCCCATCTGATAGACTACTGAATAAGACAGACGCAAGGAATATAATCAAAACCGGTAGGCGAATTGCAGTACATGTATACGTGTAGACTTGCATATAAACTGGACAGCAAAAGAAACTTGCCACTTCTGTCAAAGACCACACATAAAAATTCACTCCATAGAAATAAACAATTATTGTACACAGGTATGCTGCAATACCCCTTACTAATCACATGCCCAAAAGAGATTTTCTTTATAACAAAGAAGAAATTGTGTGTGTGACTTTTGATTCAGTAACCAAATTGCTGTGCATGTCAATTTCTTCTTTGTTATAAAGATAATCACTTGCTTTTGGGCATGTGATTAGTAAGGGATATTGCAGCATACCTGTGTACAATAATTGTTTATTTCTATGGAGTGACTTTTTATGTGTGGTCTTTGACAGAAGTGGCAAGTTTCTCTTGCTGTCCAGTTTATTTCGCTGCAGTCCTCATTCCAGACACGATCCAAGCATGGATCCCGGGCGCAGGCACACAGGAATAACATTTCATTCTACAAACACTGATTACGTGTTTGCCTAAACATCATATGAGAGATTGTCGTAATTATAGCACCTGAAACATAATATTTATGGGGAGTGTTGTTTTAACGAACGTTTGTCTTTACCCAGCTTTGATTTCATGCCTGCATGTTGAGATATGAAGAATATAACTCCAATTAATTCAAATTCATTTGTCTTTGCTTGTAACACCAAACACTTAGACAAGTGTGCATGACGTTCAAGTAAGACCCCTCCGTAGAGACCATACGTGTCCCACCAAACCATCATCACCAAACTATCACAGAATTCGGATAAATCATCTGGCAAAAATAGACATCAAAACTATTCTTGTAACAAATACGTTATCTTGTCATTTTCAGATAGGAAAACTACATTCCCCATACCCCCGTATGGAAAAGTTTGTAAACAGAAACTCAAATCCCATAAAGTAAAGCGTCTACGTGTAACAGGCCAATAAATAAAATTACGCAGTCCTTGTTATATAATAATACGGCAACAATTTTTGCAGCTGTAAACATATATTCAAGTTACTTGTAAATGTAATCAAATGATCATGAGTTGAGGTTGATACAGGTAAACGTAACTAAACATACTGTGGCAGTAAGTACAAAATCAAGAAGTAGGAAATAAAGATTTTGGAAATCTATCTTTACGGACTTCAATGGAACCAGCTCTTGGATTTGCAATTCTACACAGAATAATACACAAAATTTCATGCACATTTACTGGTACTCTCCGTTGATTGGGCACCAGTTGAGCAAGAAGCAGATGAGTCAATTTTAAGTGACATGAATCACTTTCCAAATGCAAGGGTTTTCTCGATGGTAGGGTGGCACAAGGACTGCACAGCATTTCCTTATTGGTGTCAGAAGTGGGATCCTCCAGTCTCAGATGCTCTGCTGGAATTACAGCAGAGAGGGATGTTACCCTAAGAAATGATAGCAGTGGGTCTTTCAGGCCCTAACCTAGAATGCAACACCTCAGCGAGCTTTGAATCACTCAGGTATGACCCGGTACTGTGGGAAATGGTTTTCCTGACAAAGGACTACCTGTTGATGCCACTTTACTCGTTGGACAACTGACGATTCTCTGCAATAGTGCTCATGGAATCCAGACCCAGACGTTTTTTGGCAGTGATGCACCAAGCAGCACAGGTGCCGGGACAGCTGACCTCAAGTGAGGAGACCCATTTATACAGCAATCTACCACCTGGCACCTCACATCCCATGTGTAATTATGCGGACAAGGATGTCAACAAACATCCCCTCTAGACAATGTTGAATTGTTGGTTACATTCTGAATGACAAAAATTCCAGTTTGGTTGTCAAATTTGCTAGAGACAGAAGGATCGGAGCAGTAGAATTTCCTAGTCTAACCCTTAGGTAAATACTCGGAGATCAGCCACTAGGATACTAAGCTGCTTCCAAACCCAGCCAACAGCTACCAGGATTTTCAGCTCGACACACAAAGCCAAACTGATGATCCAGAAGATTCCAGGGCATCAGCAACACATAATCCCTGCCTCCATTCACAATACAGACATGAAAGATACCTGTTGCATGTGTTTAATCTCAGCCCACTCATAAGTCAAAAGTTGCCATAACTCTCATTACTCCATAAATAAATTCATTTATATATACATGTATATACAGTATATATTAGATGTGAATTTATGGTTCAGCTGTAGTATCAATGTGTTTACCTACTCAAATAAAATCTCCCCCCCCGCCCTCTTTGTGGATTCTGTTACCATTCATACCAGGCATGAGGGCACTGTTTGCGACATGGACCAAGGCTCCACAATTTATTAGCAGACTTGATAATCTGGACCCGTAGATGACATACGGATACGAAACGAGCAAGCCGCCTATGACTGTGGTGCGTCAAATATACATTTGATTCTGAATGAAACATGGCCAAAAGTGAAAGTTCGGATATATCTTTATACTGCAAACATTCTTTCGACATGGCCGCTGGTTTACAAGCTGACCGTAATGGTGTCACGAATCAGTGACAAGTACGAGTATTCATCAGTTGGGCAATCCTGGCCAACGCTTTACGCACAGGTTACACTGAGTTACAACACAAAATAAAGCAGACATCTTTCCACCAGGAAGTTACCCAACAGTGCACAGCTCATACAACAAAGATCACTATGCTTAATTACTGTTTTAAATGCAACTGAATGCGTGAATCCAGGGAGTCTTGCACACTAGCCAGATACCTGCACTGACTAACGTTCCTATTCAACCTCATGCCAAAGGAGCCATGAGACCCTCCTCCAAAGTAAAACGGCTCCAAAATGTCACCGCCCAGGGCTGGCCAATGTGTGGCTGGCCTGCATCACTTCGACTTTGGCAGTTCAAAATTCTTTGGTTATTTCGGATCAGTGGGGAACATACACTGTCTCACATCATCATTTCTAGTCATTCTGCACTCGGCAGCAACAGACCTTGTCACCATAACTGAAAAATCCAAATTTATGCGCCTAAATTCCGAAGACAATCGCACACGACTGTGGCAGCTTCACCAATCAATAGTTGCTACCCAGCCGGACCACCTGCACCATGGCAAGCTGGTGCCTTAGTCTACATCGTGCCCCTTGCAAAGATTCATGTTCATGAAGGCTCCATTCCATGGGCAAAGCAGCTTACCTAAACTTTTTCAAATTTTTTTTCTCCTATTGATCCCCAAAACGATGACCACGTTGTAAAAATATTCTTTAGATTACAATTTATTATTTTATACAGTAATGATACAATCACTGTCCTCTTTCAGATCTCCGATTCAGATTTTGGCATTGTCTTCCATGCAATATGCCTCAATTTGATAGTGCTGGCAGTAAAACATCTTGCTCAAGGACACACTTCCACAAGTCCCTCAGGAAATTCACGTACCCCCGAAAAAATCAACTAGGAACCAGTCACAAGCGTTATAAACCACATGACTTTTTGGCTGGTAACATGTTTCAGCTGAGCAAGTATCTTCTGTGCTTACTATATCTGTTGCATTTAGAACCTCCTTGGAACTTTGGTGCTCCAGATGGTGAGACTGATCTCAAATCCATCAATGAGATGGCACTTACATAACCATTACAAAAATATTCTTGCCTGGTGCTAGCCTGCCGTTATCACCGCCTCTCGCCGTTATCGCCGCCTCTCGCCGTTATCGCCGCCTCTCGCCTTTCTGTGTCCTCTTTTTCTCTTTCTCTTTCCGTTCCAGCGCCTTCAGTCGGTCTTTCTCCCGTTGCTGTCGCTCCATCTCCCGCCTCTTCTCATGCTCCGCCTTCTGTTTCTCCCGCTGCTCCCTCACTGCCCGGTCTACACTCTCTTTGTTGGTGTTGGGTGCCATCAGCACTGAGTGAGAACCTGCTCAGGAATCTAACATCTGACATTTTGCGGGGAATACAGCACTAATTGAAGTGTAGTCATAAAGGCATGACATGAAATTTCCTTTTCCTTCAATCCGACTCTGCCAAATGCATCAGGAATGCAACAGTGTCAGGACTTTGTTGTATATTGCCGACCAACAAATAGCCAAAAACACAAGTGGCAGGGTGCACTGTGCCACTGCGCTCAGCCGAGGCATTTGTTCATCCGCAAATCCACTGTTGCATTTTGTTGCATTTTGCTGCATTTTGTTGCACCTCTTCTGTAGTACGTTGCATTCATCATGGGCAACATTTGAGAAGTGCTGCACACGTTTAGCACTGTGCCTGGAGAAAACCTGAGTGAAAGTCAGGTTAATAAGGACACTGTATTTTGCTGGAGGATCTGGCCTCAGGGTCTGGTGCCCAGAGACCAGAGGACAGCTGTACATATCAAGTTGCTGGCCACAAAGAAAGCTATCTATATCTTTAACCTGCATCTCTCTGACCATAATCATAACTATGATGGACTGGAACCCCATAAATGGAATTAGAACATACATGTTCCTTTTATGCCAAGGAATCCTGGCATAACACCAGCCTGGTGGCCTCTGTCGGCTTAAGACAGGGGTATTTGTCAGTTCACTGATGTACATCAGTATCAGTGTTGTATGGTTGGAGCATTTGAGTGCCTGTGTGGTTGAAATTCTAAGGCTTATCAAGGATGGACTCAACCAACAAACTTTAGATCAATCTTCAATTTCGGTCAATGATAATTAAAAAGCTGTAACAGTCTTTTTGTTTTCGAGATCAGCTTTTCAAACTTTAAGCAAAACCTTGAAATTGAAACTTAAAAAGTGCATAAAGGATACAGCCTTCTGATCTCGTTGGTCTATCTTCTTCCTCATCTTCTTCATCAGTAAGGACAGCAGTTAAGGAAAAAATGCAAAGTGCCAACAGCCGATGACAGTAGAAATACTGCCCGGTGTATGCTTTGACAGTGGGATCTTAACGCCAATCCTATTCAATTAGTGCACTCCACAATACTATGCACGCCCAACATTTATTTGAAAAAGGTCTTTTTGTCATCCAGCCAGAGTAGGAAGTAGCTTGAGCCACTTTTTAAGTTCAAGGCCTCGAAAAGAATTTTGCACAATGTAAATCAACAGACACCCTCATCGTTTGTCAACCATATGGTGTCCATTTGCATCAGGATACCAGACTGAGTCATACATCAAAACAAAGAGCTGAGTTTACTCTTTCGGATCCGCGCTAGAACACAATTACAAGAAAGCAGCCCTAAGGACTCATTTTGTAGGAACCAGCCACTTTTAGGGTTGACTCTTTACCGGTTACTTAGGTGGTGTGAGTCGACCTATGGAAGAAATTTTCAATTGACTGTGTGTGATCGCCACCCCACAGAGTTATCAGTATTAACCTTGTCCCAAGCTGGAGTACCTGCTTCAGTATATCTGAGCTCTGGGGAAGAATTCTGCATTAGATAATCACAGTGTACGAGTCTCATATACACCAACCAGCTTAAAAGGGGGAGGCCTCTGTTTCAGCAATTTTAGCGAGGAGAGGGATCTCAAAACCTTAAAGCCTTAATAGTTAACCCTCCTCAATCCTTCAAAAATCTTTTGGGAGGTTTTGGAGGATTGAGGGTGAATGGCAAAAGTGCATGGCTGATTGCAAAGGATGCCATGTGTGAAGGTTGTGGGTTAGACCTTGTGTTGTTCTTGCTCAGTCGTGCATGAATTCAGCCCGATATTTCTTTTGAATCAACCGCACTGCCTAAAAATAATGAGAGGAATTGCAGGATTTTGAAGGATTGAGGCAGTAGGCACACTTCCAAATAATATCCTTTTCGAGAATTTTTGGAGGATTTTGGCTGAATGTAAATTTTTCATGTTGAAAATCGGAGGATCTTGGAGGATCGAGGATGATTCCGGGTAAAAAGGACTAGGGGGTTTGGATTCAAGGAACAAGTTATAAAATTGTATACACAGGCACTGTTCAAAAGACTCCACCACGATGATGGTCCATATGGAATTCTTTCCAAGCTCTGTCACAACGATTTAACAGTACATGTTCCATGAGTTGCTCCCACTTAGAGAAGAGTCAAAGGATATCTGCTCTCACCATCCACGACCTCAGCGTATCGGGCCAGCAATCTTTGCTTGTCTTTGTTGTTCTTGGGGCTGCTGATGTCCTTCTTGCTCTGTGTGGAGGCGTGCCGCTCCATGATGGAAGACATCTTTTCATCTGTGGAAAGTTCCTCTGTTCGGGATGAGAAACAGTTGACAACATTAAACCAAAAAAATGTTAAAGAGGTTTCAAGGGGAAACTTGAGTCTGTCAAATTTTCTCCCTTCCGTCCTTGTGTATTTTAACCTCATTTTCCTGAATCGCTCAAAAATAAACCTGATGGTTTGTCGGATTTTACAGAACTGTAAATCAGTCAACCTCTCTGCTTAGTTTGCTAGTATTGCTTAATAACACAACTCCACAAACGCTTAGTTCCGTGCTCTCTAACGTGGTGGAGTGACTTCTCATTTTCTAGCGTGCCATATTCTGCCATCAGGTACATGTACCTTTTTTACCGGCTTCTTTTTCGAGTCTGGTCTGGCTGTTGGACACCTGCCATCTCTTCAGGATTTCTCTGCACGTTTCTTCCACTGGTTCCTCCTGTCAACGTTAAAAACATACAGGTAAATATCAGGTAAAGGCCAAAATGAGAAAAAGTGTGGTAGTTCTGCTTTCTATCAAGTGGCATCTGAAAGAAGGGTGGATGGAACGGTGGGTGAGAACATTTTTTCCACCATATTCCATACTGATTCAGTGTGCAGTCACGGCAGTGCAGCTAAGAGTTAAATTAACTGGTTAAATATAGCAGCACTATTGAGAGCTTAGGAGGCATTTGTTTCAAATGAAGGCAAACAGGACTGCCAACTTGTATTCTTAAAAAGAAAATTGGCCACAATGGGCCCTCAACGCGGCTGTATCTTGTGCTGGAACGTAGGCATCAGTTTTCACAATTTTCATGGGCAATGTTTGCTCCTTTTCCCATCCCACAATGCCTTTCTACCGTTGTGCAAAACCACTCATGCAGTATCAGAAATAACTTGAATAAGGCTTATTCATGAGGCTGGACTACAGCAAGTAGGCCCACTACTAGTTCAAACTAAAACTACAGGCCTACACTAAAGGGCAATAATGTCTGGCGTGTCCAAGGTTGGACGACATCTACATTACATTGTGACTAATGTAGACGTCGTCCAACCAGGGCTAGGCTTGGCCAAGACGATCATGAGCGCGCCTAGCCCCACTAGTGTGGCACGGACTCTCACTCCCGATCCATCCTTAGCCACACATCCGTGTGCGCAATTTCATCCCGACGTATTGAACATTTTGGCGCACCCACTTATCACCGTAGGCGTAATTTGTTTTGCACACGAATATGATTCTTGACCTTTCCAATACGTCGACACGAAATTGCGTATACGGATGTGTGGCTAAGGATGGATCGGGAGTGAGAGTCCGTGCCACACTGGGGCTAGAATGCGCCACGACTATTTTACTCACAGTTATCTCAGTTAAAATACCCATCAGTGTCTCCATTTTGTCTTCATCTGTTGAGTCATCTGTATCGACGACTCCAAGGATGTAAGAACCGAACACCTCATCGTCAATATTTATTTCTTTCAATCGTTTTGACAGCCAGTCTTCGAACTCTGAGACAGAACTGGACAGCGTGCACATGGCCGCTGCCATCTTGGGATGCTTTTTCTATCAACTGGTGCTCGGAAATAGAATTTTTTGTGCGCATCATACGAACGTTATGCGCGAGCCAGACGCGGACACCAGTTATAGACTGTCATACGACTGTTTCATGATTAGTTAATAAACTTTCAATGGGACAGGCGCAGAGGGTGTCTCGGCCGCGCCGCGCGCCAAAGAAGAAGATACCGGTCAAAGCAATACGCAAAATACGAACGCTTATTTTCTTATTTTCAAACATTTAACAGTTTTGAGGTCGGCTTAAAGGCAGAGTTAGCAAACATTTTTGATAAAAGACGGAACAGATGAGGGGAACAAATGCATGGCATTTCAAATTGAAATTAGGGGTTAAGCTCTCCGAGTAACTTGGACTCTACAAATCAGGATTATAGGGGGGCCTATTACTGGACTTTCAGCTAAACGATGTATAGTGGTGTTATAGGTTCAAGTGAAGACGTATATGCATATCATTCATCAGAAAACTCTTTTTATAGAGGGAAAGCTAATCAAACTGATGCATCTTTGATGAGTACATTTACACACCTAAAACAACAGAAAAAAAGTTACACTTAGAGTCATTTATATAACCATTATTCGTCATCCTACTACGTACGCAAGTGCAAATGAGGATCACGCAATCCAATAAAGAAGACTTGCATCTAATTTCAAATACTTTTACAATTGGTCGTAGTATCTTTATGTAAATCACTTTTTTTAACCTTTGGACATGGTCGGGGTACTATATGATCGCCGGACCACGTCCAAACGTTTAAAAAGGGGATTTGTAGAGTCGAAGTTACTCGGACCCTATGCTTGGACTAGGCGGGTTCAGTGAGTCACATCTTCATTAACGAGAACCTTGTTTCAGGGACTTCGATGCATGAATATATTGCTGGGATGAAGTTTAACAAATATTCTAAGCAATGCTTTATGACAAAGGTGAGACCTCCGTTTTAAATACCCGATGATGAAATAAAGTTCATGCACCAACAATCCACATATTTTCAGCACTAATTGATCAGTCTTACGAGAAGAAAGGACTAGTTACAGACCTCAAAAATACTGCCAACGGGGAAAGTTTATTTTTATAGCAAGTTGTTTTTGACAACCAACAGTGAGGTTTTCATGCACATCCCAAGTTTTCGTCTGAGGAGGGTACGTATCACATTCAAATAAAAAGAAGACAGGAAATAATTTCTTATTCACGTTGTTAAATATACAGATTTGGGTTTAATTCTTAATACTTGTTTTCAAGGAGAAAAATTAAGGTTCTAACATTCAAATGACAACAGAAACTTCTTTTTACCGCTATAGCAATCTACAGGCATCAGGCTTAAAATCTAATCTACATGAACTGTACAATTCAGTGATAAATATTCAAAATTACTCATGAATATGCAGTGCTGAACAGTGAGATAATTTTTCAAGTGAACAACGAACTGGTTAGGTGTACTTCGTTTGGTCAGATATGCAGTTGGAGTCAGTTAGATCCTTTCATTGGACCATTATTCAAAGTGAAATATCCACAGGGTAACTGACCTATGGGCCTTATTCATGTGTTTACTTTAACTGCATTAGCAGCTGTCGCTTCAGGGTACTGCTGCATGATTTGATGTCCCTGACTGACATGACTTGCAAGACTTAGCTCACAATTTCTAATCGTTTTTACACAAGCATAATGTATGACGTTCAATTTCATTTGGTTCAAACTTTCCAGGCTTTTCATGTATTAGGTGCTAGGGGAAACCAAACTTGCAACACAGTTGAGGTTTGGATAAAAAGGGCTGCGAGAGGGCCAAATGTTTTTGGTACATAATTTATGTATAGTCTAGTTACCAGACCGTAAGATTTTGACAACTTTTTCAGACTCATGTTCTGTGATTTTGGACGTATTCAATGCTCGGAAATATCTAACACTTAAAAACTACCTTTCTTCACAGATTTCCTCACATGCTACACAATGGTAACTTTTCTCAACTTTTATAACGTTTGTTTTTGAACACATGTACTTACTGCCACATTTGTTTATGTTCTGTTAACCATTGCTTTCTAAATAAACTGGCATGCGCACCTTGCATTAAAGACACTGCGTCACACATTGCATCAATGGTAGCTACCCAATTTACAAATTATACCCAAGTGAAAATGTCAAGTCTGGGAACCAGACTAAATTTATGTACAATTAACAACTTGTTTTTACACATTTAGAGCATACGGGCTGTTTTAAACATATACCGACTGATTCTACAGAACTGCCACGGGCTATGCAAAATGTGGCTGGGTACCAGCTCTGAGCAATATGCACCATGGCATTTTGGCTGGTAACCAGTGTTTGCTGGGTAACTGTTCTCTGTGCAAAGCGAATTGTTGCTTAGCAGGTCCAAGGAATTTACAGCAGAAGTTTGTGAACATTTCTAAAACACTGACCCCTATTGCTGCTGTTCTAAGCTTAGAAACTTTCATATCAATATCATAAACAACAGAGACAATAACAAACAGAATACGTGACCTTTGTTTACAAAATGATGGGTCAATGTCATAGCCAGGCAAATACAAACTGTTCAAGGTACAGTGTACACACATCAACAAAGAAGGTACCTGTATAATGAACCAGCCCAGCAAAAACGGAAGACTCTTTGGTGAGAGAAAAAATTACCAAAGATCACACAGTCTTCTTAAAACCTACACTCTATCATTAGACAGCACACGATACTGATTATTACATGTATACCTCAGTTGTACAATGTGAGAGTAAAGTGGGAAAAAAAGGAAAAGAGAGGAAGTGGAATCAAGTTCACAGGTGCAACGACACAGGGAAAAATGCAACCATTAATCACAGACGCACATTTATAATAAGTAATAATAACAAATTACAAACTACTTGTCAATTAAATTCCACAGTTAATGTTCCTCATTTGTTTAGGTTTTAATAAGAGACATTACAACAGGGTGGATTTCATTTAAACAACGAAACCTATCAAAAACACGCCATTGAATTCTCCAAGAAACATTAAATAATGAGCTATCAACAAGCAGATATCTTTAAATATAGACTTATTATCCATCATACATTACCAAACTGCATCAAACATTAAACAACTATATTAAGGAACACAAAAACTTGTAAGGTACCACTTTTCCTTATATTTTAATACACTAAATTAGGAAACCGCCTATTTTACCATCAATATTTGACCATACGAACAAGCTATTAACCATGCATGAATTCTACTCCCAACTTGTTAAAAGATATTTAATAATGTTAATTAGGGCCAAAAGAAAATGCAGCTGGAAATCACTTAATCCCTTACACTTTCCAATTTAAAAGCTAGAACTACCAAAAAAAGCTTATGACAATCATCGACAAAATAATGCTAGTAATGTCCAAATGCTTGTACACCAAGTCAACAGTTTGAAGAACCATCGAAGGTAACTAAGTTCTAAGGACTGCTGTTTCACATGGCACAACTCCATGGAAATTTGTGAAGATCCAATGCACCGGGGATACATTGCTTCACTTTGTACAATATTTACATGATTGGAAAACTTTATAAGTAACCCAGTGGAAAAAAAAAGAAGCAAGAAAAGATGACAAACAAAACTTGAAGTTTATGGAAAAGGTCAAATTTTAGTTTAAAAAGGGCCTAGTGCCAACAATCCTATGTCAGAGAAATATTCGTGAAACTGGCCAAGTCATTTAACTCCCTTTTGAAAAAAAAAAAACACAGAAATTCTCAATGCTGAAACACACTGAGAGGCTATACTCAGTAACGCAACAAAAACGCAAATGAGAAATTTTTAAGAATGACCAAAAAGGACAAGAAAAGGACTGCTCTGCTTTTTACTTTTTCTTGCTCTTGCTTCTGGTGCGCATTCCTCCATTCTCAGCGGGCATGTCGCTAAATCCCTCGTCTTCCACGCTCTCTGCCTTCAGCATCTTGTTGACTGTAGGGAAAACCAAAAGATGTTTCAAAGACACATGAAAGTAGTGTTTATTAAAACCCTCCTATGTGGAAGTCACAAGATGAATCTTTTCGTCATATCAGTACACTTTCTCATACAAATAAATACCAGAGTTTGCTTTCGTGCGTTGACATTCAAACACAGTATTCTCCACCGTCCACCCCACCATTTATCTTCCCGCGCCAACGCCCATTATTAGAAAACGGCAACATTACTCATGACGCAAAGACCGGCAGCGTCTTCCGGAATTGTGAAAGCCACTGCGTACACCATGTGTACAGGGAAGGGGGGGGGTCCGAACAGTTGGCATTTCATGCGTACGTACTTTATGGACGGCCCCTAAGAAATCAATCACATGTTAGTTTACAAGTGTCATTTTAAGTAAAAGGAGCATGGATGATGGCAAAGGAGTGCTGTTGTCACAATTTACTTGAATGGCTTATGTCTCAAGGCTGGACAACCTGTTAAGACTTATGATGGACTAGATTACAACAATATTTAAGATACTACAATTTCCAGATGTTAAAAGAAGTCAAGTGTACGGTTAGAAACTTTACGTTGTACATTTGAAACTAGACAGAGAGGCTTTTTTCTCTGCAAAATAACGATGTACACGTCTTCTTTATCAAGTGAGACAATGGCCGTCTCCAGTGCAAAGTGTTGTTGTTAAAGTGTTGATCCATTAACTCTGGCTCCAAACAATGCAAACAATATACGACATGTACTCTGTAAACACTGTGCGCTGCAGGGCGGCCTTTGTAACAAGAAAGATGTGCGTCATGTGGGCCAGGAAGACTGCCTTCAAGACCTTCTTTACTGGGCAGCCATCTTAGATCTTGTTTCCTGAATCTTTTAACTGTTGTTAACTGTTGAATGTGGTGTTAGCAAACTGATTTATGATTCCAAGCCTCCCAGTTAGTATTTTTCAAAATCTGGCTTCAAACAGCTACATTTAATCATAAATTTTAAATTAGTCATCAGAACAGATCAGTACTACATATAATTTGTCATAAAAACTAATTTTAATGCTTTCATAGCTACCAGTAGACTCAAGTTCATAAAATGAAGAGTTAACCTTGCTTCAATAAGGCCAACTCATGAATGAAGCTCATAAAATAGGCTTAAAAATGCATGTGATTATCAAATTCTTAGCTATAATTATAAGAGTATTTTCTTGCAAAAGCAAACAATGGCTTGTAAAAAGAAGGGCTGGAAACTACTTTGCAATGAGTGTGATATTGATTTTTAAAATAGTAATTACCGATGGTGATTATCATCTTTAGAAGAACTATCTTCAAAAATCATCAGTTAACCCAAGAAAGTTAAAAAAGCAACTGAAAGATGAGGAAATAAATTTTAAGATGATGTATACATCTTCAATACTCATATTTTCCTGAGTTTTTGAAGGGAAGTATTGATCACTGCTCCTAAAGCAGCTTAATTATTGGTCTACAACCCTGCACACCTAGTGGACTGAAAATGACGGTCGAAGGTCAAAGGTCAAGAGGGGCCTTACCTTCATCTTTCTTGGCCTTTTTGTCCTTGGATTTGCCCATTGGGGTCTTCTTGCGGGGAGCGGCCGCCTGCTGGTTCTCTCGTCGTCGGCGTAGCTGGAAGGTTAGGACTATCCAGAGCAGCCAGGCCTGAAAGAGGGACACGCCTGCCAGAATGCTAACCCTGCAAGATGAGAGGCAAACTCCGCATGCAAAATGGGGATAGTGATGACGTCATCAGTTCTTCAATGCCTTGACAAATCTACCAGTCTTTCTACACATTTTTCCGCCCAATAACTTGCTCATTTTGAAGACACATATCCCTATTCAAACAGGTCAAATCAATGAGTCTTTTAACAACATGTCCATGATAAATGACAACTTCTTCCTCAATCAATTTTCAATTCTGTTGACTTTGCCCATACATTTTTGTACCTTATGCGTATATAACTAGCAACAGATGAAGTCCTTTGTCAAACGCTAATCAGGATGGAAACCCCTCTGCTCTACCGCAAACTGACAAAGATCTCTGGGTTTTTTTCCCCTCCAGTTTTTGGGCTGTACATCAGGACTAAGCGTCCAGTTGAACCCACTCCAAATTACGGGATGAACTCTTTGTAACAATATCAAAAAATTACCCAGTCAACCTGTCAGACAACAAAAAAGAAAGGTTTTTGACATTTTTTGTTGAGAAGTACAAATCATCACATTTGCATTTCATTATGGTTATAGTAATTAATGACCTCTTGTTCAACACTGACAATGTTGACATACTGAAAACAGTCACTTTATAATCTTCTATCATGTCTGAAAGTTGTTACGGAGCACACTGAAAAACAAAATTAATATTTTTCCCCGATCGGTTTCCCTTTGAATTTGGAAAGGTTCCTATTGCGCACACTCACGTATCTGTTTCCCATAAACACCACAAATTCACACGCCTTTTCTGCTGTAATGCCGATAAACCTCCCACCCATTTCAAAACAACAAAATCTGAAAACACAACACAACTTGATCTGCGGCCAATAAAAATAAAACCTCTTATTTCTGCATCCAAAGAATGCCTTTCAAATAACTTTAAAACCCTCAATCGGGGGATACCAGAGTGGACTTTGGCCAACCGGGATGCCGTACCTGATGACCGGTGTATTGAAGTTGCCCGCCTTGATGTCCAGTCCGCTGTTCTCCAGCTTGCCCAGTCCGAACCAGACCACCAGAACAGTCAAGGTCACCACGCTGAGGCGGGCAATCAGGAAAAGAACCAGCCACAGACTAAACCTAGAAACCAGACCACAGGGGATAAATGCAATGTTTAACGTTTTGTCACAGTCTTGCACCAAGTTAGACCTTCTTTCATTATGAGAAAAAAAATTACCTGGTGTGGGATTTGAACCTGCAATCGCTAGAATACTTCAACCAACCTGCCCTATGTTGGTGGTTATTCCAGTCTATCAATATCTTTAACCCTACAGCCCTGGCAGACTCAGCACAGTCCATCAGGTGGAACAGCTTTGAAGCACTGGGCAACAGCGGCCGAACAAACTGGTCATTAAAGAATACCACTGATGGATCTTCTGGTGTCTGGCAACCACAGACTCCCAAGCTGGGTGGCCTTGGGGAGAGTTGACCTGTTGGTTCTTGTTACACTGGGCAGACAAGCCATTTTGGCAAAGACACAGACTGATGCGTCTGGCCGAGTTTGTAGCCAAAATGGGCTGGAGGGTTAGGGTTAATGAGTGCCAGTCTGAGGCTATAAAACCCAAAACACCATGTAGCCAGTGACCACACCCCAAAGATAAAATACAAGTGATATCAGCAATGTCGTAAGCCTGGATAGTGTTAAATGGATATGGATGTGGCTTTTTGAATTCAATCATCAAACTATGTAGAGAAACTATCTATGTAGGTGCCTACACTTACATGGTATTCTCACAGATGGACACAGAAATTGACTGGATTAGAACCTTCAATCCTCCAGAATGCAAGTACCATGCTAGATCATGTGTAAAACCAACTTCTTTGACACACCCAAACATGAATGCAATTGGGCTTTGACAAGTCTGCAAGACGTTTGCCTTACAGAGTGAGCTATTTTCCATCAGGAATTTTTGAAAAGCCTCAACACACCAGTTTCTGCTTTTGTTCCAAAAATGGACAAAATGCCAACTTACAAAGGGTCCGAAAACTCGGTTTTCTCTCCAAAGTAGAGGAGTCGTGCGAGGTGGAATGTCAGCTCAGCAATGTAATGGATCACAAGGCACAGCAGGGCAAGATGTCCAAGGCTGAAAGGCAATCACGAACAGTACAAACAATATCAACAATCATGATTTCACAACATCATTTTGGGGATGCTAGAGCCTGGGGGCTAGGGTCTGGAATCCCCAATCTTAGAGTCTGGGGTTCGAATCCAGCTGCTGGCTAAATATTGTGACCTTGGGCCAGCCACTTAATCTCTACTAAAGTCACTCTCTTTCTGGGGGTAGGGTATCAATGGATCCGTGTGAGTGCAGACAGGGATGAAATTATTGAGATGGATCCAAGGAATGATAACAGTAAGGATACAATAAAATAACGATGCCAGTACACTGAGACTATGCAGAACGCACAGAGCTACCTATTATCAATACCACTAGAATTTCAGTTTCTTTGACCCTTTCATATTAGATCCTGCTGCAACCACAAGCACTGTGGGAAGTGCTTCCGTTGTGACTGGCAGCCAAGATATAATATACCTGCCTCAGAGGGCCACTGGATATTATCTGTGGCCATCACCCACAGATGGTACGTTATTACTAGCTACAGCAGTTATTTGCCTTTCTGACTATAATTGTGTGCCCCTGAGCAGGATAATTTAGCACAACTCCATTTCTACTCTCCATGAACTTTGCTCCAAAAAAAGGGGGAATTCTAGCAGTCAGGTACAGAATTGGGCAGGGAAGCTTTACGTGGTGCAACAACTTCCGATTCTGACAAAATTTGATCGTGGTAGACTGTTGGATTTTCTTCACTTATTTTTCTTTTACTCTATTTGAAACCCCTCCCCCACCAACCTAACCCGACTCCACCCCTCTTCTGTTTTGGACACTGATGTGACCCCACTTACTTGAGAATGTATGCCCCCAATATGAAGGCAAGGTAAAAGGACGCATATCTGATGCGTGCACTAACTTCCTCCTGAAAACACAGAAAAATGGGGACAAAAAATCTGTAGATCATCCATGAAATTATGAGGAAAAAACAATTTAATTAAAAATATTTATGGTAATTTTCCATACACCAAATGAGCCACACAAGGATGATCTGGTGAAGCTGTATTTAGTGCAAATGAGTGAAGGCTAAGACTGGTTCCAGACTGCTTGTTGGCAAGAATATCATGCAGAAGGGACCAGCCTATTTAGTCTCCCCCCCTCCCAAAAATCCTGCTATCCCTGGTTTGTGTGAATTGATTTCCAAATGCAAAGAAATGAACAGCTTACAAGGGTTACTAAAACATGAGGTCTAGTTACATCCCCTCGCTGAAATGCTGTTTAGCACCCTTTACAATGTGTGTAGCGAGTCCACAGTACTTCCGAATAAGACCACCCATCAAAACAGGTGAGAATTTCTGATAATAATATTTGTATACAAAAATGAGCCAGTCTGGTGTTTCAAAAGGGCAAGGTCATTTGAGAATGAAGCATGAGTGGGTGTTTCAAAAAGGCAAGGTCATTTGAGAATGAGGCATGAGTGGGTGTTTCAAAAAGGCAAGGTCATTTGAGAATGAGGCATGAGTGGGTGTTT